TTACGGCCAGCCAGCATTTGCCGTATTCCCTCTGCATATTTCAGCAGATCCGACCCGATTTGCACTCTATTCCTGAACACGCTAGGCAGTTTTCCAGGGACTGCCTTGGACGAGATTCTTCATCCTCGTGGTTCATAATGCCACGATCTCGACAACGCTAATCCTACGATTATTTGCTACATTCATGTTTCCACAAACTTTCCTTTAGAATAATCATGTTCACCTAAGGGACGTTTGCTTCCTCGTGAGGAAGTATTAATTTACCCAACTCGAGTTGCATTGTAAACTTAATGTTTGCAGCACTGATACATTGTACAGTGCGTTATATCCCAGAATTGAGAGTTTAGATTGATTTGGGATCATATGTTCTACATGCATGGCTTAACTATTCACCATTGCATACAGTTTTGACCCTTCGAATCAGGTCAACATTGCTTGAACTCTCTCGTGATTTTGATATTCAACGCTTGGATTCAAGTATCTGCACTGATCAATCCACTGCGGATTTTAGGATTCACAATGAATCCTGCTACCAATTCATATCGTGGCAAACAATCGTTAATGGTAACGTTTTCAATCATCGGATTGGTTTCGCGTAGAGCAATTCGGTTACAGATCCAACCGCTGTCAGTGTCCCTACTGCGAGAGTCTCATAGTCATATTAGACCTAATGAATTAATTAGTACATAATGCCACTACTATCGTATTAGCTTAAGTATTAAGGGCCTAAACCCTTCTACTATAAACCAGACAATAGTAACCAATATATATTTATTAATTCATATTTATGCATTCTCAGATGCAGCAGGTTCTTGGCGTCTCTTTTTCTTAGGAGGGGTAGGAACCCCTCCTTCCGCGGCTGGCTTATCCTTCTCCAACTTGAGTTTTTCCAGTTCATGCTCCAGCTCATGAACCCGTTCTTGGAGCTTCTTGCGCTCCTTATCGTCCTTAGCCACCGCTTGATCGAGAAGCTTGAGAACTTGCTTGCGGTTGACCGAAAATTTCGGTCCTCTAAAAAAACTTTAGTTATTGAGTTAATAAGTTCAAGTTGAATTATAGAACTCACCTCGGCCTTATACAGTTCATCCAAGCTACAATGTCGACAACGACATATTTGCTGTCCGAACCGTCGCCAGACGAGGTTTTTCCGTTACTTCCACGGACTTTCGTCATACCTGGAAAACGGACATTAGGGACGATTTCTAATTTATTTGTAAAGAGCCTAAAAGGATAATGAAAATATCCATTAGGTCTAATACAACAACAAGCTTGAGGCATTTGTTTCTGAGACAGCAGTTGTACTCTGTAACTCAATTACACGTATAGGCGAAGACTATTACCAGAGCACATGTCCACCCAAACGGCGCCCAGGCTGGGTCTTTAAGATTTCGTACTAAATGTACTCAATCACCTCTGCGGGTTACTCTGCGTAATAGCCATGCCATCCGATTTATGCTCCACAAAATTGTGCAGTGCTGACCTTTCCAATGAGTCAGCGTTTGCATGAATATTTCAACATTCAGAAGCAGATAACAGTTGGGCTAAAGCACTGTCCCTGCAACCATAAATAGGTATGTGAGTCTAGACGAACCTACATTAGGGTGAACTTAGCCGGCCTGTTATCAGGCCACTCCCGTTCACTCGCCGTTACTAGGGAATTTCAACTAGCCCCTCCGAAGAGGTAGCCTGATAACAGTCGTTGCCCGGGACCCGCCACGAGGAGGCGTCACCCTCAGGGGCCTATGCGCGTCAGTAGTTAGCTGACGAGGCATTTGGCTACGCTTAAGAGAGTCATAGTTACTCCCGCCGTTTACCCGCGCTTACTCGAATTACTACGATATTAACATTCAGAGCACTGGGCAGAAATCAGAGACAGTAAACGTCCGCAAGGACCATCTGTCTCCTCTGTTTTAATTAGACAGTCGGATTCCCCGAGTCCGTACCAGTTCCAGTTCGACCGCAGTTTTGTGATGTCGGTCAGGATACTAAGCCCGAAGACAAAGCACACACCTGAAAACGTCCACAAGGCAGTCTTGTCACTAGTCCAGCATCAGCGTGAGCATCAGCCAGCCACGGACGAAACCGCACAAGCATCAGTTAACAGGCCAACCGACCCGGTCACTGGAGCCAATCCTTTTCCCGAAGTTACGGATCTAATTTGCCGACTTCCCTTACCTACATTATTCTATCGACTAGAGGCTGTTCACCTTGGAGACCTGATGCGGATATCGGTACGATGCAGCACAGATTAATAGCCTTCCCTGGTTTTTCAAGGGCCGTCCAGAGAACACGAGACATCACAGAAACCGCGATGCTTTACGGAAACAACGTCCCTATCTACGGCTGAACCGATTCCAGGGAGTCCGTTCCTTAACTAGAGAAGAGAACTCTAGCTCGGTCTCTGAGCGACGTAACCAAGTTCGAATGCGTTACCGCGCAAGTGACTCAACGAGCCACAATCTCTGTGTCTGCGTTAGGGAATATTAACCCTATTCCCTTTTGATATCCGAGAGAAAAGAGACTTTTCCCTCTCGATGATACAAGGCATAAGCCAGTATCTTAGGATCGACTGACCCACATTCAACTACTGTTCACGTGGAACCCTTCTCCACTTCAGTCTTCAAGGATCGAACTTAAATATTTGCTACTACCACCGAGATCTGCACTGACGGAAGCTCCAGCTGGGCCTACGCCCAAAGCCTTCGACGCAACCGCCACGACCCTCCTACTCGTTGCGGCCAGGCGCTAGACAACGCACAAGCCAGCAACGGCTGGGTATAGGTCTCTCGCTCAAGCGCCATCCATTTTCAGGGCTAGTTGATTCGGCAGGTGAGTTGTTACACACTCCTTAGCGGGTACCGACTTCCATGGCCACCGTCCTGCTGTCTATATCAACCAACGCCTTTTATGGGGTCTCATGAGCGAAAAGTTAGGCACCTTAACCCAACGTTTGGTTCATCCCACAGCGCCAGTTCTGCTTACCAAAAATGGCCCACTTGGAGCTCGCGTTCGTGTCAACAGTTCAACAAAGAAACCGAGACAACATACCCATTGAAAGTTTGAGAATAGGTTGAGGTCGTTTCGACCCCAAGTCCTCTAATCATTCGCTTTACCGGATATAACCGCAATGAACTCCAGCTATCCTGGGGAAA